GCCCAAATGCTTCCTTACCAGGTGGTACGGGCGAATGCTGCCCTGACGAGGAAATGTCGACAGATTGGTGCGACCGATTCGACTTGGTCCATGGAAAGTTAGGCATCGCAGTGTTGACAGCTTCAAGCTCCGCCTCAGAGCAGGTTGTCGATGGCGGGGCGGAGACGACGCGCTCAGCTAATAATAAAACGAGACTGAGCAACCATAGACTATACCCGGGTAAGACTGCATCGCGCGGTTGGACAGCTTTCCTCAAGTACAATGCATCGAGCTACATAGATGCACGGCGTAGGTGATCAGCCCAAGCCGCCGCACGTGCAGGCATGCGGAACTAATGGAATGACATGGAGAAGGCAAGACCAGTCCCGGTGCAGCTAACACCGGACCAAGTTGCTGATATCGCGAGCCGTGGCAGTGCTGCTATTGCCAATTCCCTGCCGGCTGCCTCTAACGCCTTTCTGCTGTTCAAGGCTTCCAAGGCGCAATCGACGTTTCGTCTTCCCCGTTCTGTGCCTGCACTCCCGCATCCCAGTGACACAGGGAGACGACAGCAAACGTCGCTGGATCCAGATACATACACTGTGCCCATAGCCCGGCGGATGGAACCTGCAAACAAGAACGCCAAGTGGGGACAGCAGCTGTTAGTCTAGGCGGCGTTGCAAGCCCTCCTCTGCTCAACGTGCCTGAAGCTGCAGCCGCCCCTGCGTATCGCCTGGGGTATGCAAACTATACATATCGCGTCTCATTATTGTACACTGAGTGTTTTGCTTTTCTTGTGCGATCGTGACATTTGCGACGTGTCCGAAGAGCTCAATGCCTAGAGTGGCAGATTGCATCATCACCTTCACGGACTATCTCAAAGCGAGCGGATCTGCATACGAGCCAGATGTGCATCATCTCGCTCCTGTTCCCTCAGCTCCGTAAAATGTCATGGGGCTATTTTTGGCGTCTGACATGTGCTAGCCGCGTTAGACTAGCTTGCCTGTCGTTTCGGTTCTGATGCCTGTGTAAGGTTTCCTAAGCTTCCACGTTACACCACTTTCACATAAATCTCAACACAAGGCTGAGGTCTCGAAAAGCTGACCATCAGCCACTTCATGCACGCAATATAGCCAAACTCAATTGTCGGTCTCTCCGACACCTCACCGGCATTGACCGGACAACGAACGACGCGAACGTATGCCGGTGAGGCGGTTATGCACGCCTCCTTGGAGGTGCGTGGGGACTACTGTATGCGCAAGTGCGGCGCTGCCAGGAACGATCTCTGTATGAGACATTATTACGCGCTTCTCTTCTCGATCGTACTTCCAGGATCAATGCAATGTCGAATTTTCTCGCAAGAGGGTCTGCTAGGAGCCTACTCAGACCATAGGTAAAGCGAACACCGGTAGTTGCACGCGTGCGAGTCGATTATTACCGCAATACTTCTCAACAAGAGCAGATTCTCATTTGGGTACCGTATGGATTGCGGAAGTTGTAGGTGGCTCGTCGTCACGGATCATCGCGCTACCACTGAATGTCAACCAAAGTGTAGCTTTGTGATCTCGCACAAAGCACCTGTAGGCAAATTTTGACTACGATGAAGTGAACGGACTTTCTACTACTACGTAATGGGATTGCGCAATCGTCAGGTCGATTGCCCGAAACTTATTTGCTGAAACTTTACGAGCGTTGACCCTACTACGACCACTTCAATACAAACTACAGATTTCTCCAACCTTCTGTCTCGACCATGGCCGATCAACAGGTGTTCCGATTTCTCGATCTACCAACAGAACTGCGCTTGATGGTCTACAACTTTCTCCCGGTCAAGACGAAACACCATGTCGTTCGTACCAACGATTTTGCTTTCTGGTTCAACAACTCTCACTATCACTCTACTCACTTACCTGAGCGTTTTCTCGAAGAGGGAGCACATTTCCAGACTCCCTCCTCGAAATGGCCTGTATACTCCATGACGATAGTATCCAAGAAGGTCCCCGGCCTAGCGATCCTCGGTACCAGTCAAAAGATCCATCTAGAAGCTGGTGAAGTGCTACATCCAAAGTTGCGAGCCATCAGCAAATTACCAGCACAGATTATCGTCAACAGTATCTCTCTGGGCAGTTTCGCTATGGATGATGTGGTGACTCGATTGTCATACGCAAACACTACCTACTGGACCAACAAAAGCCGTCTCCTAGACTGGCGCGTAGCAGCACCTGAGTTGCGCCCAGGAAACGAACCCAGATCTCGACCCGTTCACGTAGCCATACGCAATACGTTCATGGACAGAGACACAGCCGACGCATCGACAGACAACTTCAGAATGCAGTGCCTGCGGAATTGCTTCTATTGGTCACTTAGACATGAATCAGCCATACATGCTGCGAGCTGCCCTACAGATGGCTCCTTCCCGCACATTGACCAGCATTTACATCTCCGTATGGCTGGATTGACTTCGCAGGAGGAAAAGGCTTACGGCATATTTCGACCTCTGGACCGTGAAAGTTTTGGAAGATGCTGTCGTTGCAGGTCTACCTCGCTCATCGACAGCGGTGAGATGATTGGTGAAGAGGAATGGGAGGACGAATGGGCAGAACACGAGAGCTATCAGTAAGGGCTACGATCGTCGGACAACGAAGAAGAGAAGTAGTCTCACGCATGGGGAGGTCGAGCTGGATACTACTACTCAATTTTGGCGAACAACCATCGAAAAAATGGACACTGAGAACAGAACCTGAAAGGAAACTCGAGAACGACTTCGGTAGAAGCATCAGTCGCGTCACACAATACACTAATCTCAAAGTAATCTTACCTTCACTTCTACTTCGGGTCTGTGCGCTCACTGATTGTACTGCGCCTAAATGGCACTCATTTTTCATTGGTACCTCTCACCACAACCGCATCAATACATTAACCAAGTTCACCCAAGCGCCGTAACCTCCAGCAACCTAACGAGGTCTTTATACGCCGAAATCATGAAGGTATCAACCACCGACCTACCTCCGCCTCAGACTGCCACAATGGAGACATCAGAACAGCCACGCCGCCCATTGTCCACGTTGCTCTACCCAAGAACAGCGGAAGCACCATCAGCATACGACACATCACCTCAACTTCCGACAATTCCTGAGTCACTACCATCCCCACCTTCACCGCCGTCAAAAGCGAATCAAGACCATCCAACACCACCCTCCCCACCCCTCATCGTCATCCACCCCGCCCCAGAACCCACCTCACCCACCTCCCCAACCTCGCCCTTCCCAGACAGCCTCCCACCGCGCCCCCAACCCGCACAAAACGGAACACTCATCTCCCGCCTCTTCAAGCGCGCACCCGCGCACCCCGATGACATAGAGCTCGGTCACCTTCCGCGCGGACACACACCAGAGGTTCCTGTTACAGACGCGGAGAAGGAACGGGAGTATAGAAGGAAGAAGGTGTTGTTCATTTATATGGTTTGGGGGGTGCTTCTCGTGCTTGCGATATGCGGGATGGTGGTTGGGGCGCAGATGTATAGGGGGAAGGTTGGTGATGAGGGTGGTGGTGAGAAGGTTAATAACTTTGAGGTTGTTAATGAGAGTGGGGAGGTCGTGGGAGGGGGAGGGGGAGGATGATGGGGTGGTTGGTTGATTAAGGGACGTACATTGAGTTGGAAGAACGTGGGTTGAAGCACTGTAGACGTCTTATTCATCAGTACTTTCAACAAAGGCTACGGACCAGGCACTTTCGTGATGGAGGATAGAATGATAAAGGGTAATCGTCTTCACGAAGACATGGTGCGAGATGGTCGCCCTGGATATGCTTCGTTCTATAGATCCTATACTAGAAAAGGGAAGAATTTGCTCAGTCTTATCCGATACTCTAGATGACCTTGCATTTCAGGAATTCGCGTTCGAGCGCCTCGAGACCTGGCCTAGGTGCTCTTTCACTTTCACTCTTACGGCCGCCCGCTCTTTTCTTGTTAAGCTAGCTCTCCTCTACCTTCGCACAGAGACGTCTTCTATCCACTGCAAGCTGCGCAACAATCACGACATCTACACTGCCATCTGCTACGCCGCAAGGTCTGTCACCCTACAGTATGTCTGAAAGTTTTCGTTCTAACATTCCTGCAGAACAGTCGCTCTCATTCACTATGGACGACTTCGATAGTGAGACGGAGTATGACGACGGCCTCGACAGCTTCTACGACTATGATTACGGCGACTTCGACGACGACGAGGATAATTTCGATCAACACAATCACGTCTACGGCCAACACAACACCTACAAGTCCAGCAAGTTGAATAAGGTCGCATCCGTTCCAGTCAATCCGCCCGCCATGTCTTACAAGCATTCTTTGCGGAACAACGACGTAGCCTGCGACATACTTTCCCTGTCTATCGTCTGTTTAGTCTTCATAACGGCCTTAGTCCTGTTAACATGGCTCTTACCCGAGGCAACAATCTCCTCGGTCAAACTTATGGGCTTCATGCTAGTCAAGACTGCATTGATTTTGCTAAAGATAGCTATTTTCCTGCTCAAGATCAGCTGCAAAATCTTCTTCCATCTTGTATTAGCGCTCTTGTTTAGAAGGTGATGAGAGATCATGAGGCGAAAGGCTGGAAACAAGCACAAAGGGAGAGAAACGATAGGACACAAAGCACAACCGTATCAGAGGCTAGAGATTGAGATGAGTTGGATTTGTTTAGGTTCAAATGCAGATTGCTCCAACGCCCATAGCGTGCCTCCAAGCGTTCGGATCGATCGAGACGAAATCGAATTTACTAGATGGTATCATTTGCTGTATATGTATGAACTCGAAACATGTACTCAATCTCGTCCGACAAATCAGGTGATCTCCCAGTCTAGGAAGTCGCGTTCAGATCTGGTCCAGGCGCTCTTTCATCTTCACGTTGCCGCCTGCTCACTATTTCCTCGTTCCGCTAGCTCTCTTATATAACACCGCCCAAACACTCCTTCCACCCACTGTTGACTGCGCAAGAACCAATATCTACACGGCCATCTCCCACGCTACCATGAGTCTGTCGCCCACTAACACCACTGAAACGCTCCTTCCTAACTTCCCAGCAGAACGACCACTCTCACCCGCTATGAACGCCTCCGATAGCAAAACCGACTATTCCACGGACGATACCCCCTCGAGCACGGGGTCCGACGACGGTTGGGTTGACTTTGGCTGCGGCGATTTGTACAAGGACATCTGCGGCGGCGGCGACGACGACGACGACAACAACAACAACAACAACAACAACGACAACGGCAACGGCGACAACGACGACTCCAACTCCGACTCCGATCACGGTCACACTCATACCACCTACATCAAGATCAAGTCCAAAAACGGCGCATCCAGCCGGGTGAAGCCGCCCACCGTCTCTGTCAAACATCGTTCACCTCATTCCAGAGTAAAGCGCCATGATTATACCAGTGACCGCGAGTTCACCGTCTGCTTCCTCATGATCCTGGTCATTCTGGCACTCTTGTTTCCTGAGGGAGCATCTGTTTCCTTCAAGGTTATGGGCTTCGTACTGGCCGAGATTACATCAATTCTGTTCGAGGGAAAAATTCTCCGGTTTGTATTAGCTGTAGTGTTGTTCGTTGCGGCGTCCGTAAAGCGGCAGGGCTGAAAACAAGCAGAATGGGAGAAAAGGAACAGGACGTGAAGAACAAGGGTATGGAAGGAAAGGAGATGACATGGGACACAATTGTTCTTGTTCACATGATCGCTTCCACGCGAAGGCATCACGAGACAAAATCGAAGTTACTAGATGGTATCATTTGCTGCATATGCATGAGTAGAATGAGTAGAATGAGTCGACTATTACTGGGTCTCCTCCACATATCCCAAGGCCTCTCCAACCTTGACCTTCATCCCTTGCTCAATGTTCCACTTGAACCCACCCTTCCTCTCCATACCAGTGAAGCCCTCGTCGAGACTGGGCCTTATGCCCTTTGGCGCCTCGAAGACCAAGACGATGGTACTTCCCAGCTGGAAACCACCCATCTCTTCACCACGCTTGAGAGAATATCCACCTAGTATGCGACTGGCGGAGGTGTAGGAGGCCTCGGCAAACCCGGAGTAGGGCTCACCGCGAGCTGCAGCTTCTTCGGCGGCGCGGTCAGCGGCAGTGTCGGTAGTCAGGCTGTTGGTGCGGAGTTCGCGATCGAAGTTGATCTTGATGGATCCGACGTTGGTTGCGCCGACGGGTGTGTAGGAGAAGAAACCCCAGCGCCAGCGACCGAGCAGGACAACGCGCTCGTTCAAGGTGAAAAGACCGGGCATGGTGCGTTGGAGGTATGGAGATACACTGTATAGTTCACCGGCGAAGTGACGGCGCGATTCGACGACCCATGATACTGGAGAGTGGAAACGGTGGTAGTCGCCCGGAGCGAGGTATACGACACAGTAGTAGAGTGCGGTAGGTGTCTTGTTGGATGCCGGTGCCCACCATGGTCGCTCAGCTTCGCTCAAGGCCATTTCAGCGCGTACCTCGGCTTCTGATGAAGCAGCCGGTGCGGTGGACTGGTCCGTGGGCATCTCAGATGGCTTTCCGCCCTTTGGCCATGGTCCTGAGAACAAGTTAGGCAAGGTATACGAGATGCCGTTCACGTTTGCGAATTCCTCGTCTGCGCGAACGGTGTCTTCTTCATCCTTTGCGGTCTTCTCGTGTTCGCTTGTGACGACCTGAGAGTTCGCGACGTTCTGGGCGGGTGTGCTGGGCTTGGTGGAGCCTAGAAGCGCATCCAAGCTGTATGTCACGCCTTTGACTTGTTCGACTTCGCCGTGCTCGATGGTGCCGAATTGAATGACTTTGCCGTCTGCGGGAGAGAGGACGGCGTTGGGGTTCGGGTCGAGAGGGCGGACTCCGGGCTTGAGGGTGCGGTAGAAGAAAGCAGCGAGATTGGGGTAGACGTGGAGATCGGGCTCGGAGACTTCAGAGAGGCTGTGATTTATTAGCATGAAGCATCGCTACTGGGTGGCAGTCGCTAACTTGACACCGAATATCCAAGAGTAGAGCTTGAAGCCAGGTACTCGAAGGTAGTAGGGAATATCGATCTCGTTGAAGCGTCCCCAAACTCGCGAGAGGGCCTTTAGAGGTAGCGTGGACATGACCTGAACAGTCCATGGCCCGCTCGGTCGTATCCTCTCGCGCCTCTTCGGTCGGCCCTGGTTGTCCACTGCACCTTCCTCGCCATTCTGTCTCTCAGCCTCGGTATGCTTCTCCCTCCGTTGTATGCGATAGAGCTGGAATGCGCCGAGGAAGCCGACGCCGAGTGCAATTGGTATTGGCTCCCATTTTATCTTGGTGTTCTTGAGTGCGGAGTTTAGCCGTGACCTGAAGGACTCTTTCCTGTGGAAGTTCTGCTCATATGTTGCGCGCGTGGAGGAGAAGGTGCGAGACGGGGCGGAGAGGCGCGCATGTCGGTGTGCGGGAGTTTGGAATCGCGGGCGGAGAGGGGCTCGCATGAGCTGGCGCGAACAGGAAGACGCCATGGCTATGTTGTATGCATCGGTCTCGAGTATTGCAGTGCGGGAAGACGGCCAATTCCCCAGCGACGAGATGACGGCTATGGCGTCGCGTGGTGGGAAAATCAACTTCCTCGGTTGACCAATGACGTATCCATCGGCGGCAGGGCTCTAGCGCGCAACGGCGTCTACCGCTGGACATGGACAGTTCAATGCATCGCGTGCACAGGGCAAGCTTCTCGAAACATCCACAGTAGAGGCGGCACTGACGCTCAGATTATCCGCCTGGACTTCGTAGCAGATGGCAGGCGCGACTGTGGTCCTAAGCTGATACCAGGCTCTCATTCGGACACGTCGTCACTTCCCGACTTCCACCTGCACTCTTCACCTCGCACCATAGTCCCTCACTACACACAGCGGCCATGGCGGAAGAAGCGCAGACAGTCAACCTCAAGATCCTTTCACCCTCGTCTGACTTTGAGGGTGGTGTGAACCTCGCAGACGTCCCCGCTTCCACCACGGTCAAAGAGCTCCGGAGCCGCATACAGGATGCCGCGCCCTCGAAGCCTGCCCCAGATCGCATGCGCCTCATCTATCGCGGCAGAGTAGTGGCCAATGATGCCGATACACTGAGCAACGTGTTTGGCGTTGACAATGTAGGGTCGCCAACCACGTGCAGTAGACCCACGCTGATGGTGAATACAGCTACGTGAGAACAATGACCAGAGCCTCCACTTGGTACTGCGGGAGCTCCCGACTACTGGGAACCCTTCAACGTCACCCACGCCACGATCCGCGACTGTCCCGAACCCTTTCCGCCCTGCGCAAGCCCCGGCTGTACCCGCAAACCCTCTGCAGACGAACCCATTCCGCGCGCTGCCACAGGCTCGACCGCACTCGCTCCCACCACTACCACCGCACCACCATCATATCCCGGGCCAAGCAAACGCGGTTCCCATTCCTCTCCCTCTTCCCCCACAGCTGCAACAACAGTTCACGCAGGCCATGGCGCAACAGGGACAGCAGAATGACGAGCAGACCCCAGACTCGACATCTCAGCAGCCAGGACCAGACGCACAGAGACCCGCGGATGCCGCTCAAGGACTGCCCAATCTCCCTGGAACTGGCGACCAACCATTACGACGCGAAGGCGTGGGTCCCAACGGGGCGCGATGGACAGTGACATACAACCAGGTCAATATACCTGCGCAGATTCGACAGCCCGTTCCTGCATTCGGTCTTGCTCCACCGCTAGCGTTTGGTCGTCCACCCGTCCCGCCAGGCGTTATTCCCTCAATGGGTCACGACAGTACCCAGCGCTTGTTGCCACGCATCCAGACAATCTTCCAGGAAGCACAACGCGAGATGGAAAACGTGCGAACCTTGCTGCAGCCTGCGCGTCCATCAGAGACACAGACTGATCGACTTTCGCTTTCAAATACCTCTCCTCTGAACCTACCAGTTTGGCGAATTGACCACATCCGTCAACACCTGAACACCATCAACCAGAACTTGAACGTTGTCGAGCGGGCCCTCGCCCTTCTCCCTACAGAACCCGAAGTGGTAGCGCTGAGACGTTCAGTAACTGAGATTAGGGTGGACGCACTAGAATTGAACATCATACTCGATCGGCAACAAGGCGGAAGCCCCAGTCGATCAAGCATGTCCACAGCCATCAACACTCCGATTCTCGGATCTTCTTCTAGCACAATACCAGGTGCTCCGATAATGACTCCAGCTGTGCCTACTACCTCTCAACCACAGGCACAGAACACTACTCAGGCAATGCCTACAGATGCGCCAACGGAATTGTTTCTCTTATCAAGCCCTCAGGGCCCGGTTTGCGTTCTCTTCGATCAGCAAGGCACATACACCACTGCCCCCATGGTTTCGACACTTCCATTCCAGAGTTTTACAAATCAGTTTGCTCAGAACAGACAGCTCCTCAATGGACTTGGACAGCAGATAGCACAGGGAAATCCGCCCCCTAACCTTGAGCTGCACAGGCAGCTAGCCAACATGAGCCAGACCCAACGTCGGGACTGGATCCAGAATCAAAACCAAATCCAAAACCAGAATCAAAATCAAAATCAGAATCAAGATCAGAATCAGAACCAAAACCAGAATCAAAACGCGAACGTAAACGCAAACCAACCAGAAGAGAACGATCGTATGGTCAACGTCGCTGGGCATATGTGGCTGATCTTCAAGCTGGCAGCATTCGTTTACTTCTTCTCAGGAGGTGGTGGCCTCTATAGGCCTATCATGCTTGGTATCGTCGCAGGTGTGGTTTACCTAGCACAAGCCGGCATGTTTCAAGAGCAGTTCAACGTTGTTCGTCGTCACTTCGAGGCTCTTCTCCCTGTCGGAGCCTTGGCCGAACGTGTGGCTCAGCCCAACAACCAGCGCCAAACGCAACATCGAGGTAACCTATCACCCGAGGAAGCTGCGAGGAGGATACTGCAGCAGAGGAGAGATCAGAGATTTGGATGGCTCAGGGACAGCATGCGTACAGTCGAACGCGCTTTTGCGCTGTTTGTTGCCAGCTTGTTTCCTGGTGTCGGAGAGCGGATGGTCCACGCGCAAGAGGAGAGGGAGAGACTAGAAAGAGTGGCAGCTCGAGAAGAGAGGGAACGCCAGGAGGAAGAGGCGAGAAGAAGGGAAGAAGAGGCCCAAACACAGCGCGAGCAGGGAGATGAAAAGAAGACCGAGGCCGATCTCGAGCCACAAGATGAGTCGAACGCAAGTGTAGGCACCAAGGGCAAGGAGAGGGCAACGACAGAGGAAGAGGCTACTGCTCCGGGTCCTTCTTCATGATTTTGTAAAGCGACATCATTATACGGAAGTAGCAATGCTCAGACAGATACCCTTGCATGAAGTCAATACATATTTCATTCACATTGCACCCTGGAATATGTCTCATCCGGTGCTACCTACCAAATTTCGGTGTCACATCAGTTTTGTATACGCTCGCCAGCAGCGAGCCATAGTACCAGTAGAGTCTGCCATACCTTCAGTCCGATCATATCGTATTTTAAATCATGCTTCGGTATGGATAACCTCTGTCGGCGGCGGTGCAGAATGTTGCGAATGTCTGACCCGGGGCGCGCCTGCCATGTTTAAGACAAGGGTCCATACTAGCGCACAACCAGCTAGCTCACCTCCACACGTGGATTGATGCACCGAGTAGATCTCCGGCACCTCCATCTTCTTTCCTTTTTGCCTAACATCGCATCACAGGATCGGGTTTTAGAAACATTCTTTTCGGAGCCCAGCGAACAGGCCGTGCTTGCTCTACATATCCGACGCTGGAGACCACATACGGTTAGCCACACTATGCCGGCGGCTTCCATTCCAGGCAGAGGAACAGCTGTATATCATCGCGCAACATAGAGAAGCGTCAAAGAATGAATGCCAAACAAGCGGCATGTCTGAATTGCCGCAAAAGCAAAATCAAGTGTCGGCGCGAAGAAGGCGCGCCAATATGCGAGCGTTGCCAGAACGTCGGGATTGAATGCATAATTCCAGAATTTCACATTGGTCGGCAAAAGGGCGTGAAGAAGTAAGCGATGAGACATGAGGGCAGGGGCTAGACTGACTGTCATAGCAAACGATCGGGCCTAGAGAAGGCGATATACCAGGTTGAAGAAGCCATCAAAAAGAGGAAATCGGATGCAGCTACGAGTCAGAGTACGCTGCAGCAACTGCAGCAGCTTCTGAACGAGGCGCAAGGGGACGAAGACTCCAATCAAAACCCAAACACATCGCCTGCCTCAGAGGTGCATCCTCACATATCAGCGAGTAATCTTGTTGGTACTTCAAGCGACGATCAACTCGCTGTTGAAGATGTCGAAAACCCACTCCAACTCCTCGCCCGGGCCTCGGATCTGCGGATTGCAACACCACAGTCATACAACCAGAGTACCGCCAGCCCTGAAGACAGATTCAATGGTAGCCAGCAGAGCGCTTTTCTCGACGTTCACCACTTTTTTCTGCCGATGAAAGCACATCTTGATCAGGGCTCAGGCCTGGATCCCATTGATGTTGGGCTCGTAACCAAAGACGAAGCTGAGATGCTTCTACAGTAGTAAGTCATATCAAACCTCGGATCTGGACTCAAGAACGTAGCTAACGGAGTTCAGCTTCCACAAAAAGCTAGCACACACACGCTGGGGCCTCGACCCGTTAGTCCATACGTTGCCATTCGTTCGAAACCGCTCTGCCTTCTTGTTCACTACTCTTTTAGCCATGACCGCCATATTTTTACCGGAAACTTCTGCGCTGGCTAAAAGACTACTACTGCATCGTAGATTTCTAGCCGAGCAAGTCATTACCCGAAAGTACAGATCTGTTGAAATCGTGCTAGCTTTCATGGTCAGTATTCCTTGGATGCCTCCAGGGTCCCATGCAAGCGACGACGACACGAGCCTCTATCTAGCTACAGCGCTTTCGATCGCGTTAGATCTTATGCTAGACAAAGTGATAACGCCATCGACATCGTTCGATCAGGAGCTTGTCAGACAGATACCGAAGTCAGAATGTCTTCACGCAAGAAAAGCACTGGCGATGGACGGCTTTGAAGACGTCGACCCAAATTCGGAATGGGGCCAGCGACTTCTTCGCCGCAGAGAAAGGGTCTGGATTTCTTTGTTTGTCTTGGAGCGAGGAGTCTGCCTAGCCCGCGGGCGTAGCTACTGTGTCCCCAAGACATGCCTGATCCAGTACTGCGACAAGTGGCACGACCATCGATGGGGCGATGCTCAGGATGGCCCGCTTGTATCCATGGCAGTCCTCCGCCGCGATCTTGACGACCTTTTTGCTGAGGTGCGTACGCGCTGTGATAACTATCGTCTTGCCGAAATAGGGACAAAGGTCGCCCAAGAAATCGACGGGTCTATCGAGAGCTTCTTCGACAGCTGGTCTCGCGCCTGGCCCTCTGTAATCGCTGATCCGGAGAGCAAAACACTACCTCCATATGTCGAAATCCTTGTTACACACACGCGGCTTTCAACCTACTCAATGCTCCTCAACCACCCTAGCGCACCTCCAGAGGTCAAACGTTCTTTCCGAAAGTCTGCACTATCCTCGGCACTCAACGTTATGCGTGCGGCGATCCAAGGCGAGTCACGTCTCAAATCGATGCCGAACAACACCGTTACGATGATTTGCTTCGCTGCAAGTATAGCGCTCGCTTTGAGTGCACCCGTGCCGGAGGCCGGCGGAAAGCAGAAGAGCCTTGCTCCAAGCGTCCGACATCTTATTGAAGATACCGCAACAGTTCTTGAGCGTATAGGCAGCACACCCATCCACCGGAACGGGGCTTCGGTCGTCTACGGCCGCTTCTTACGCGTTCTCGTTAAGCAGGCGCCGGAGATTGAGAGGCTACCACAATTGCCAGTCCACGATCCTGCACCACCGTCGATGGCCATACCAGATCTTCTATCGCCGTCATACAAGGTGAATGATGCGATGCCTGAAAACCATACGATGGGGCCAGATCCTATATCCAGCTACTGGCCGGATACACTAGACTTCTCAGCCATGTCGTACAACGAAGTGAACGAGACTGTGACGAACTCGGATCTGTTCTCCACAGCGTTATTGGATCTTCCGTGGAACGATAGCAACCCATTGTGGACAGATTGGATGAATCTGCCGGACTTCAACTTCCCGTAAAGTAGTGCGCGATCCAGTTTGACGAGCTCTCGTTATTTTTATGGGCTTCTCAGGAACTCTGAAGGGATCCGAGACAGGCAAAGCCATCTCCCGCTGCCCAGAACCTCGCGTCGGCGCGTGATACAGCGGATGGAGACGGGACGCGTCGCCAAGCGCGAAGGAACTGAGAGAGGGGCGCGACCTCGGAAATCGCCAGAAGCTAAACCTCATGTGATTCCGCGGCAGATGAAGCCCCGCACCAAGCTCGAAAGTCGCTCCATCTTCGGTAGTTGAAATGACGCCGATGGATGTCAAATGTATGACGTTAGAGCTATTGCGCGGTCCACGCACGCGTCCGATGGCGTTCCTTCGGACAACAGTCGCAAAAGCTTTGCCCATACTCCCAGAGTCGGTGCTTCTTGAGTCTCCTTAACTGATGATTTAACTTCACTGTTCTGCTGCTTTTGTTCACGCGCGTCACAATGGATTCATTACCTTCGTCGTACCGGCTGCTCGCAGCTCTGCCAGCGCGGTTATGTTCACAACGACCTCTCCCCACACAACTACGAGCCGCACGACTCCCACCGCGATGGCGATTCACCGGTCAACTGCGAAGCATCAGTCAAAGCGCTCCCATGATCGACCGCTCTAAATCGAAGCTTTTCAAAGATGCAGATGAAGCGGTCGCAGACGTACAACCGGGGTCCACAGTCTTGAGTGCGGGCTTTGGATTATGCGGTGTTGCAGACACGCTCATCGGAGCGATGAAGAAGCGCGGCCCGCAGTCGCTACACTCCTTGACAGCCGTCTCCAACAATGCTGGAATTGAGGACGTAGGAGGCTTAGCGCTACTTACAAAAAGTGGACAAGTCAAGAAGCTCATCATAAGCTTTCTGGGAAACAACAAGGCATTGGAAAAGCAATATTTGGGCGGTGATATCGAGATTGAGCTATGTCCACAGGGTACGCTTGCGGAGAGAATAAGAGCTGGCGGTGCGGGCATCCCAGCGTTCTACACGCCCACCGCTGTCAACACGTTACTACAAGATGGAGAGATCCCCGCAAAGTTTGATAAAGACGGAAAGGCGGTGGGCTTTGGTCAGAAAAGGGAGGTCAGAGAGTTCAATGGCAAGAAATTTCTCATGGAGACTGCATTGACCGGCGATGTTGCGATAATTCGAGCGCACAAGGCCGACGAGGCTGGCAACTGTGTCTTCAGGTAAGAGAGAATTCTCTCTAGTGCTTCGAGCATCGTTTCTGACAGCGGTTGTAGATACACCACCAAAGCCTTCGGTCCCATCATGGCCAAAGCGGCCCGCCTCACCATTGTCGAAGCCGAAGAGATCGTCCCAATCGGTACCTTTGACGCGAACGACATCGACCTCCCCGGCATCTTCGTCGACCGCATCGTTCCTTCCACAGCTCCCAAGAACGTCGAGATCAAGAAGCTCCGAAAACCCGCTGCCTCCTCAGATGCATCATCGAAGAACGAGGCAGCAGAGCGTCGCGACCGAATCGCTCGCCGAGCAGCGAAGGAACTGAAGCAAGGATACTACGTCAACTTGGGTGTCGGAATCCCAACGGCAGCAGCGTCTTTCGTGCCTGACGGTGTGAAGGTGTGGCTACAATCCGAGAACGGCATTTTGGGCATGGGCCCCTACCCGACCGAAGAGGAGCTCGACCCAGATATCATCAACGCCGGTAAGGAGACAGTCACACTCCTGCCTGGCGCCTCAACATTCGACTCTGCAGAGTCATTCGGCATGATCCGTGGAGGTCACGTCGATGTCTCTATCCTAGGCGCTCTCCAAGTCAGCGCCTCTGGTGACCTAGCAAACTACATGGTACCCGGAAAGGTATTCAAGGGCATGGGCGGCGCAATGGATCTCGTCAGCAACCCAGAAGCTACCAAGGTAGTGGTCGCTACTGAGCACGTCGCAAAGGACGGATCAAGCAAGATTGTTCAGGAATGCAAGCTGCCGTTGACGGGAGCCAAGTGCGTCAGCACTATCATTACAGACATGTGTGTATTTGAGGTCAACCGGAAGCGTGGTACTTTGACGCTTACCGAGACTGCGCCTGGTGTGAGCGTCGAGGATGTCAAGGCAAAGACAGATGCTAGCTTCGAGGTTGCGCCTGATCTTAAGACCATGGAGTAGACGTTTTGTGTAGTTTTGGCGTAGCATACCCAAGTGATGATCGTTGTCAATTTCCATACACAGCCCACCATGAGTCGTGATGCAATTGTGAGAAAACGCGAACCATGCGACAAAGCTAAAAGAATTGACCGTTTTACGCGTCATTTTGATCGTCGCAGGCAGTTCGATCATCCAACAGATGTCTCATGACCCAAACAGAAAAACAAAGCATCGCGATCGCGAAAGCCAGATCGTCGGTTACCCAAAGTACAAGCTTGGTGCTTTTGGTCGCTTCCGATAACAGCGCATGCATCACAGCACGCGCAATCTCCAAAACAGGACGTTGCGATAACAGAAAAGAAGCTTCAGACTATATTTCCATCGCACCTGGGCATGCAACAAAACCGTTGACGATCTCCCACGAGAGCGGTGCCTGGGAGATATCGTCGAGTTGGCATACCGAATTTCGGGGGCAGCCAAGCTGTCCAAGTGGGCGGCTGAAAGGCTTCGCACTGCTTGGTCCACGCTCCATCCAGCACCTGGGCACAACGAAAAGCTTGGTACCGCCGATCCGCGATCAGCCCTCCACATGCGCATTCATCAACAAACCACAAAACCCGCCATGTCATACCTACATGGCTACACTCATCCGAACTGCTATCCGCGACTCCTCTCTTATCTAATCCACGTCTGATTACAAAAGCCCTCGGGAACAGAACAACATCCGCAGCTCGTACAGCTAACGCCCGAGTCAGTAACGCTGATGTCAAGCCTGCCGATCGCTTGTCTGCCTTAAGAGCGCTATGCATGGTTTGGCATGGTTCAAGCATAAGCTTGGTGCAGTCGGGGTAGCCCTTCACTCGTCGGCAGCACAACTCCGCCAATCGCACAACAGATAATCCCGATTGTGCCGTAACCCTTGCGCCCGCCCCCATGGGGTCAGCATGGGTAGCGCCGTTTCTGGGCAGTTCGGAGCGGCGGTGGTGGTTGCGGTGTACATGGCGCTACCGGGAGCCCGTTGAGGAGGGGAGGGGAATAAGTAAGCTCGTCGGTCGCGCACTCGGGGTTTCTTGTCAACGCTTTTCTTGAGCTGCGTTCTGGATTCTGTTCTGCTCTGCTTGTACCAATTGGGGTTTCTGAGGTTGTTCAATATGAGCCTGGATAAGATGCACGATGAGAAATTCGAGAACGGGAGTGGGAGTGAGCGGTTGGAGGCGGGGTTTGGTGAGGATGGGAAAGCTGCGAAGACGCTGTTGATGAAGATGGATGTCCGGTATGTTTAACTTCTTCGATTTACTACTTTCTTTCAGAAGCATGGCGCTGACATGCACAGCATCCTACCTGTCCTCGCTCTCCTCTTCTTGTGCTCCTTCATCGACCGTACGAATGTCGGCAACGCAAAGATCTTGGGTCTCGAGAAGGACATCAACATCAACGACCACCAATACTCGATCGGCCTGTGCGTCTTCTACGCCACGTATATCGCCAGTGAGCTCCCGTCGAACCTGGTGCTAAAGAAGATGTCGCCTAAGATCTGGCTGCCACTCTTGACGGCGGTGTGGGGAATCTTGATAATGTGTCTTGGTTTCGTCACCAACTTCGCGTCGTTCGTTACTGTTCGCGCATTGCTTGGTTGTGCTGAGGGTGGGTTGTTGCCGGGCATGGTACTCTACCTCACTGGCTTCTACCGCAGACAAGAGTTGGCTTTGCGCATCGGCATATTCTATACAGCAGCGTCCCTATCGGGTGCTTTTGGTGGTCTGCTGGCGCGCGGACTCAATGCGATCGGACCTGCTGGAGGTCTTGAAGGGTAAGAGACAGCCCCCCGCTTCCAACAACAACAAATCACTAACTGTATAATAGTTGGCGATGGATCTTCATCGTAGAAGGCCTACTGACCGTACTCGTCGGCGTATGCTCCGCGCTCTTCCTACCCAACTCCATCGAATCAGCCAAATTCCTCACCCCCGACGAGAAAGAGCACGCTCGATTCCGGCTCGGCGAGCAAAGCGCATCCCACGAGCGCTTCGACTGGGCAGAAGTCAAGCGCGGAGTATTCAACGTCCAAGTCTGGCTCACTGCATTGGCATACTTCGCCATCTTGAGCGGATTATACAGCTTCGGTCTCTTCCTCCCTACCATCATCAACAACGGCTTCGCCAAGGACCCCAACGAAGCACAACTCTGGACCGTAATCCCTTACGCAGTGGCATCAGTCTTCACAGTAGCCGTCGCTCTCCTATCCGATCGTCTTGCCCTACGCGGCCCGATCATGCTATGTACCCTCCCCGTTGCCATCATCGGCTACGGCGTCATCAGCTCATCCACCAACCCCAAGGTCCAATACGGCATGACTTTCCTCATGGCAACTGGCATGTACGCTACTGTACCGTGCATCCTCTCTTGGAACAGCAACAACTCCGCTGGCCACTACAAGCGCGCGACTACTTCTGCCTTGCAGCTCGCTATTGCGAACGCAGGTGGGTTTGTGGCCAGCTTCGTGTATCCGAAGAGCGAAAAGGAGAATCATTTCCATAAGAGTCATAGCATCATGTTGGGATTGCTTTGCGCGGCTTGGGTTTTGTAAGTTTTTGGAAAACTACCTCCAGTTGGAATGTTTACTAACGTCTTGATAGGATCGCTGCGAACGTTTTGTGGGTGCGGAAGATCAACAAGGATAAGGCGAGTGGGAAGTATGCTGAGTTTGAGGGTAGAGGTGATGACCGTGACCCGGATTTTATCATGGTTATGTAGATTCATCAATGAAGTGGCTACATCGTCGCCTAGTCTATTCAGATCGAGCAACGCTCCAAGCAGTGTCCCCATACTGCGTGATGTAACCCAAGGGACCGATCTAAGAATACTTCAATCCCGATGTAGGCT